TTTGGCATCAGGATATGTATCTGCGAAATAATATGGAAGCCAACTGAACAACGTATAATAAGCGTTAGCACCACAGTATTGCGCTACTGCTGCTGCCCTTAAAAAACTTGTCCATAGCATTTGTTAAACACAATGGAACTATTATAATTAGTAATAATTAGTAACAAAAAAGTTTACAAAGATAATAGTAATTAATGACAGAAATAATAATAGAAATAATGAAAGAAATTCCAAAAAAAGTTCGAAATATTCGCCAGTTTTAATTTCAAAACTTTGAAATGAAGAAACCACATGAGATTCATGTCATTTTGAACAGTTTAAAATAGAAAAAGAGGACAGAATTTTCCAACGTACCAAAACGATCGATGTTTCAGGAGTGTATTCCAAGGAACCACATTTTCGGAGGAGCTATTGCTAAATGATTTCCGCAAGCCACTAACTAAAGGAGCTTTCGACTCGTCGCTCTTGCCGTCATCAAGGTCACTGGATTGGTTACGTGATGTCAACATGAAGCGAAGCAATGCCCACCACAAAAATGACATCAACCCTGAAACTTTACAAGTTTTATTTTTTACAAGTAAAAAATAAAAACAAGCTTTCCAAATGAGCAATAGCAATATTAATCCAATCAAAACGAAACAGTGAAATGCTACCGAGCAGAGCATAATACTAACTGGAAACATACCCACACACTGAAATAGGGCGCGCCAACCGAAAGTTTCCAGTAATATTGAACCAACTGCACCTGCTAACGCCGTCCTAGAAACCAAAAGCATAAAGTGTTCAAAAATACTACCAATTATAACCAAACCTTTTCCAATAAATTTTACGAAAAAACTGTTAAAAAATTAGTGCCTCACCCGAGATGAGATCCTGCCAGACATATGCCTAATATGCGCCCCTTATCAAAAGACGTCAGATGTCGAGAAGTCATTGAAGCCATCGATGGAAGATGGAAAGCTGCAAGCAAAAATATACTGCTTGAAAAGCCTTAACATGTACGCCTTGGTAGATTCAAAATTAACTCGAGGAAGTGATTCATTTTTTAGGCTCTGAAATGATCGAAATTCTAGAATCAGTTAGAACGTACCTTGTCCAACACCTGTCGCTGAACGGATGATAATTATAAAAAGCATTGGATGATTTGTAGAGTATGAGAGGTCGAATAGTAGAGGAGTAAAGAAAGTGAGCAACGCCCATGTTAATGTACAGATTCTCAACACCTTCTCAGCGCCCACACGATCAGCTACATGACCAGCAATTATTTGAGTACAAGCATATCCCCAGAAAAACGATGACAATACAGTCCCCTTAAACATAAATTTGCGTTAATTTATATTTTTCTATGCATTGATATTCTAAGGAAAATCGTTCCTATCACTGTAACACAAAAATTACTATAACAGTTCATCTTGAACTATTGCGATTAACAACATATTAAATCATATAATTGTCCGGCAAGATAATTAGTGAAAATAATAAATACAATAGACATTACAATTGATTTAGTAACATAAATAAACCTTCCTGCTGCTTTAGTAACATGAAAAAAGAGGAAATTCGAAAGATAAAACATACTGCATCATTTTTGTTCCACGAATATTCATGAGCAATCACTGTAGCACATACTGGTAAAGCTACACGTGCCGCATATAACATACATGTACCAAGAAACAAATTGGCTGTCCATAAACGACATTCCTGTCTGAAATATGAATGCTAATTTATCACCAATCAATAATGATACTATCGTAAAATATCGTTTTTGTTCTGTCAAATCATTCTGCAAAGATTCATCAAAAGTGATAGTTTTAAGATAAATTCTTTCTGATCAAATAAATCTGATTTAATAAGATTCAAGTAAGCGATGACATCACGTGAGAGGATATATTATATCGGTCAATAAAAAATTCTATTTACATATTGACTCCAATTAAAAGTGCGAAAATAAAAGAAAAATAATGTAAATAAACAAACCTGCTCCACAATTTATCACAACTGGTAGGGCGACTTTCGATATCTTGCTGCAATAACTTCATGTCGGCGGGCAAAACATAGCCCGCCGTACCTGAATAATCTCTTTGTTTACTTTCATTGCTAATTCATATGGCAATAAAAGAATGTGAATAATTGAAAGAAAGTAAAAGTGCTATTATTTCTAGTTTTTAAACACTAACAAAAAATTCCGCCTGGAATGTTCCTTTTTACACAATGTCCTTCATGAGGCGGTTATTAATTTAATTTCAATTAATAAAAGATGTGAAAAAAAAAGTATAAAGCATGATAACAAAGTAATAAGAAGTTGTCATTATGATATAATCTTCATCCTTTTCCATATTAATTTATTTTCTTAATTACAGATTATTAACCATCTAATTGCAGATTAATTAGAGACTATTAATCACACATATTTATTAATAATTGTAGATTATTAATTATTTAACAGTACTGAAATTTCTCCAAATATTCCCATTGAAGCCTCTTTAATCAATGAATGAACTATTCCTTACTTACTCACACCACGTAATCCCGCTTATTCTTATTGTCCGTATCAAGTTATTCAATATAACGTACGTCCTCTTCACGTTCGACCACACGTCGCAAACGTCCTTGACAACACAATTTTATATTATTATTCACATACAAAGCAAACTACCACGTATCAAGTATCTTTCTCTCTTCTAAACACACTCTTCTAAAAGTTCTATCTTTCTCTACTGCTGTCTCGGTAAGCAATACTCTTTTCTTCCTTTATCAATCTTCCAAAGAAAGGAAATAATAAAAATATAATTTTAATGTTAGGAAGTGATAGAACTTGAGTCAGAGAGAGAAGGGAAAGGGAAGAAGAGAGGAAGGAAGGAAGAAAGAGAGAGAGAGAGAGAGAGAGAGATTCACCTGCAATGAATTCATTTCAGTTTTCTTCATTTCAAATAAAATCACTGACAAATTTAAGAAGGCAAATAATCGTTTAATCGATAATACTACTTTTCACAATGTGAAATTAAAAATGAATTCTCAGTAACTCAGCTAATTCCTTCTTCTCTCACTTCAAACAGACAGCTATGATTAAATTATCAAAGTATTAGTTAGTGCCAGGTATCTCTCATATCATTCATATTATCATATTTAATGAGTAGAAATTTAATTTCGGAAATAATTTCAAGAAGGGAAATATCAGAGCAAATATAGAAATGTACTTCCTCTTATTTTTAATTGCAAAGGAAAAAAAATAGTTTTTATTTAGTGATAACAATTGTAGACAAATCTATATTGGGTGATATCAGTGATAATAACATTGATAAGAAAGAGTATATCCGATTGTATTGTCACACACTGAAGTACAATACTGCTATACAATCATTCATTTCTCATATGAAATAGAGAGCCTTTTCCTCGGCTTTTTTATGAAATGAAAAAGAATTATGAATGAATAAGAAATACAAATTTTAAATTATCGATCGATTTTTTTCTTTGGTTAAAAATCATCAAAAAAAAATGATTTAAAACAATAGACAATGACACATTTTGCACAATTTTAATTTCTTTGTTTCATCGCATTTTAAATAAGCTAAAACAACGATTAAAATTTATGAATGGGAAAATTGAACAAATCTTGTCAAAATTTTCACTGAAACATTTTAAAATGAAGGAAATATAATTAGAATGGAAATAAACTGATAAGACGATGCACTGATTAGTGATTACATATCAAAAATAATTGATTAGACGAATAGCACAAATATTTAATGTCTTTTTTTTTGCGTTGCAGTGAATTATAAGAAAATTACATTGATTCGTTGAAAATTTCTCGAAAATTATTTGCAGAATTTTCCACCAATAGTATAATTAGTTCATAGTTCGACAGTGTATTACTGAGAGGAAAACAATGAGTGCAAAAGATTATCATTTTGATATCAGTTATTTCTAGGAAACATTTTGATAATAATCAGTAGATGAATAATCTATGAAACAATATTTTCAATTATAAATTCAGTTAAATCAGAAATTATTAGTTCACAACCCCTTATATTTCTTGTTTCATCGCTTTCCTATTTTCATTCAAATTTGCATAAAATGCAAATTTGATCGATCATATGAATGAAATGATGAAAAGCAATATATAGCAATCATTTTGTAGCATTTTTACATTAATTGTTAAAGAATTTAGCGAAATTTGGTGAAAGCAATTAGTGAAAGATTTCATTTTGTGATGGTGTACCAATCAGCTACAACTCCAACTCATACTTCAAATGGTGCTCACACACCTGTTAATGGATCTTCACGATCATCTCAGACTGGATCAGGGACAGGAGCGGGAACAGGAATTGGAACAGGATCAGGATTAGGATCAGGATCAGGATCAGCATTATCACATAGCCATTGTAAAATCCTTTGACACTTTTATAATGCATTTTTGTTGATAAAAAGATAATGAATGTAAGTTGTTGTTTGAATTTTCTCAAAAAAAAAAAAAAATGAGTGATAAAGAATACAATAGTTGGTTGATTACATTTTTTGCTGATCATCTAAATTAAAAGTTTCTTTCAGCGAAGAAACTTATCATTCGTAGAAGGTCATCACGAAGTAGCAGTGGTAAATTTCATCTAACATTCATTCATTAATTGATTTATTTCCGTTTTAAGAATTTTCAAAAAAATGTTAAATGAAAAAGTTAAGTTTAAAAATTTGTTACAATACTATTGATTATTCTGATTATTTTTTGGGGCAAACAGCAATAGCACCAGTGAAGTCCTCTGTATCTTCACGATCTGCAATTTCTGAGGTACTTTCGTGTTCAACAGTTAATCAAGATTTACGAAATGAACTACTAAGAGTAAAAAAAAAAATTCAACTCTTAAAAAAATGATACGCCAAGATGCTGGGATTAAAATAAACACAGGAAAATTTGAAATTTTGGACGACAATTGTTTTACGTATATTTCTTTACTTACTACATGTTTACCTATAATTGGAAAAACTTTAAGTATTATCCTGAATCAATGCCTGAACCGGTGCCATCTCAATCGTTACGCAGTAAAAAACTTATTCAGGTCAGCAAATATTCTCTATAAATGAAAAAATGGATAAAAAATATAAAAAGTCTCAAAGTTATATTAAATCTTTTGTAGATAATGCCTGAAGAGGCTGGTGGAACAGCTTGGCAAGTAGAAGATGAACCATTTTATCATGGTTTTATGTCAAATAATGAATGCAAACCACTGCTTACAAATGCGGGTGATTTTCTGGTACGACGGGCAGAAATTGATGGTGAAATGCAATATGTCATCACTGTTCTTCCAGAAAATTCAAATGAAATTACAAATTTTATCATCAAGAAGACTCGTCCTGTAAGTAATTCAATGAAATTCAAATTAGTTCAACGTAACCCTGCCATTCCTTCACGTGCTGTAATATGCGTTTTTACGTTCGTACGTTAAATCATTTTCAGAAACACTTATATTACGTGTACATATACGCATTCAAGACAATTTCTGATCTAATTGCATATCATAGTCGTATGAAAAAGCCATTAAATAATGAAAACGTATGCATTGTGAAAGGGATTGCACGAAGTGATTGGCAACTTGCCCATGAACAGGTAAATATTAATTTGCTTTTGTACTTAATGGTAGATTTACTTTTCTATAAGTAAGCAAGAAGAATACCGAACAGTCTTACATTAATTTTTTTTTCAAAATTTTTATTTCTTTTGTTTTATATTTTTTCCATAAATTTACATTTTGTTTTGCTTTGTTTTTTTGCAATGAGTTTTTTAATTTACAGATTGAACGAAACAAAAAATTGGGTGAGGGAGCATTTGGTGAGGTTTGGGAAGGAACGCTTAACCTTGGAGTGTTTCGTGGTTACATACCGGTGGCAATCAAAACACTTCATTCAGGAAATATTAGTGCAGATGAAAGAATTAAATTTCTTCGAGAAGCAAATTTAATGCTTAAACTAAGCCATCCTAATATCATTAAATTTTATGGAGTAGCAACCTTAAAGGATCCTATTATGATAGTTATGGAGTTTGCTAGTGGTGGATCACTCCTTGCACGAGTACAGAATACCAAACGACCGGTAGAATATATCAAAATTTACTTTTAAAACTTGAAATAAAAAAGCTTTTTGCTTTATCGATTGATTGTTTATTTATTTTATTTTTTGTTTTTACTTTTTTCCAATTCTCATAGCCTACCGATGCGGATAAGATACGATATTGTGCTGGGGCGGCTTCTGGTCTGGCATATCTCGAAACAATGCAGATTATTCATCGAGACATTGCCGCACGAAATTGTTTGCTGAATGCAGATGATGAGGTTAAACTGAGTGATTTTGGACTGTCATTGCTTGGAATTAAATATCGCGAAAGAAGCATGAAAAATGTGCCTATTCGGTGAGAGCCCTATTGAAGCTTCCGTATATGGAAAACGGATAAGACCGGAAACACAATCGAATTTGCATTTAAAAATTGACTTCTTATATATTAAATTAAATTAAAATAAATTCAATATTAATTAATTCATCCAATTTAAGATGGTTATCACCGGAAACACTAAAACATGGACGTTTTTCATCAAAGACCGATGTCTGGAGTTTCGGTATAACCATTTGGGAAATATATTCAGGCGGTCAGGAACCATATGCAGAAATTCAGGATAATAAGGAATTGCGACGAGGTATTATTGAACAACGGGTGAATTTATTATTTTTTCTGGAAATGAAAGGAACGAATGCTTACTAAATTATTTGAGAAATTGAATTCAGAATTTGAATTGGTTAAATGGAATAATTAGATTTCAAATCCAATAATTTGAGGTCAAATTTGAAATAAGTTAAAAATTAAAAAAAAAGTACAAGGAGTTAAAAAACTAAAGACTAATTTAATCCATATCATTAAACTTTTATAAATTTCAGGTAAAGATATGCAGCCCACCTGGTATGCCACCGATGATGCAGCAAATAATGTTTAGCTGTTTGACATATGATCCGAAAAATCGTCCAACATTTCAGGAATTGAATGTGAAACTATCTGCTGCTCGACCCAGTAGTAGTAGTAGCTATTTCACGCTGTCATCCAAAATTAAAGGATTATTTCACTTTTAAACAGATTTTTATTATCAGGAATTATCATTGAACAATATTTGTTGCTACACTTCTAGCGATTCTTTAATAAACAATTCTGATTTCGTACTAAAATTATTTTAACTAATTCGGAAAGACTCATTGGTTCTACATTCCAGTAATCTTAAAATTAAAAAATTTCAGAGTTTATCAAATATCAGGTAAATTAAACATTCATATTTTAATGACACTTCCTTAATTAACGTAAAAAAATTTTTCTACTTTTATAATTAATACTTCTATTTGCAAAATGTAATATTTTTGAATAAACTTTTATTGGGTTGTTAATAAATTCTATGTTGTAATTAATTCATTTATAGTATTTTATACTAAATTTTTTTGATTCTTAAATCATAAATTATAAATGAATTTTAACAGCTTGCAAAGCTCAGAGCACAGCTGCAATTTATAAATGGATAGCTCCAGATTTTAATAAAGACATCAAATTTTATCATTAATTCATTGCAGTTGAAAATAAGTCATAGTCAAATGATTTCTAATTAAAATTTATTGTTATTTGTCTGACAATAAATAATTTAGCATTTTATTTAATTAAAGCAAGGTAGATCAGATTAATCTCTTCATTTCTCTTCGTGAATATAAAATGAGATCTTTTTTTTTTTAATTCTTCAAATAATTTGTGCAAGACAAATTTGCCAGCCATTATGTGGAAGGAAATTGGCAATATTAGTTATATTGAACTTTTCGAAACTCACATCGAATAGCTCTAATCAAATTTTAATATCAGACATAAAATTTCAGCATTACTATCATGATTAATCATTCTTAGTCTTTTATTATGATAAGTTATGGAGTATGCAAGTTGCGACAATGATAAATAATGGATAATTTTGGGAATTTTAACGCTCCATAAAACTTTTTGCTTTTGCATATTTGTTTAACCAACTAATAACTTGAAATTAAGTTTTAAAAAAAGGATTTGTGATGAGTCAATCTTCACTGTTTACCTTATCATGTTCCTTATCTTCACTTTCAAAAGAAGAATTAGTCACTGATCCAAGAGTAATGCCTATATAAATTTGAAATGTAGTTCAAAATAAACTAATAGCACATCGCAATTAAACTTATTTCAAAATGAACTCATGCTTAATTATTTTATCAAACAATCAAGCTGTTACAAATATGTAAAATAATAATTTTTATACTTTAGATGGATGGGTAATTGTATATTTCAGTTTTACATATTAGCTATTCTTAAGAAAAACTGATCTGATTCCATCACTGATCAGTGATTTTTAGCTATTCACAGATTATCTTCAAAGACCAGGAAATACCTTGAAGAATATAATCTGCAAAATATTTCAACTTTTCTCGCATTATTCTCCATCACATCTTCATTTCCTTCTCATCTTAAAAAATTACCATCTTTTCTTATTTCAAAATTATGCTTATTAATTTTATTTACACAAGCAAACTTTTGCTATTCAAATTTTAGTTACTTTATATTAGTGCAATTTTTTTTTTCCATTAATTCTTTCTTTGTGCTCAAATAAATGTGTCAAAAATTTCTAAGAAAAATTAAGATTGTTAGTAGATCACAGTTACAATAGATTCTGAATTGATAAAATCAAAAGACTTATGCTAAGCATTCTCAATAAATAAATAATAATGTTGTAACTGTAATCAGACAAGCATTATCATGATTTTCTACTCGATAAACTCATTGATCGAGATCGAGAATTTTTGCTGAACGGTAATGTAGACCGAGTAGATAAGTGCTGTACAGAGGAACTTCTTCCTCCTAAATTCATTCTTCTAATTGAGTAATCATTTCTAACATCAATTTTATCTCTTCCTGCTCTTCCATTTTGCTGTGAATCCAGAAAGATTGATATTGAATTTTGAATTGCTTTCTGAATTTGTATAGCTGCTATAAATGCTAACTCATCTACACTTCGGTTTATTGCTGATGGAATACAAACTGATGAAGGCGGTAGAAATTTACTTTCTCGAATGCTAATCGGTGGTCGTAATGGTGGATTACATGGTTTACTTCCAGCTTTGACGTAAAAATACTTTCGATCACGGCGACTTATCTGTTGTTTCTCCATTTTTGAAATCCATCCACCAATTTCATAAATTTTTAACAATGCACCATGTCGACGCCATGGATTTGGACATGATCGTTCGACACGTTTCTCGTACGTTTGAAAATGTCCAAGAATTGGCAATTCGAGTACATTTTGCGTTCTTTTCCATATAATTTTTGTACCATGAATATGTTTCATTCCTGGAAGTTTTGCTGTTTCCACGTATTTCTGACCGATAATATCGTCGTTGAAAAAGAATGATTGTGAGTGATGATCATTTGATGATGATGATGATGATGATGACGATGATTTGTACATAGTAATATTTTCCATATTATCATTTGAGGGATGATGATTGGTCAGTTTCTCTTGTGAAATTGAAATTCCCGTCATTAAATCATCACCATTATCGCTGGTATCAATTACTTTTGATTCTAGTTGTGATGGAACTTTTCGTGGCATTTCTTTGAAATAATACACAGCCGTCTGCTAGCACGGATTTGCAGAAAAATAATGTCATAGGATGAGTCTCATATTTTATTCGATGAAATTTATTACATTTGCATAATTTTTTTTTTTTTTTTTTGACTAATGCTAGAAATGAAGTATTATTCAAAATTAAAAGAGATTAGATGCGAATTTAACAGAAATTTATTTCGTTTAAGTAACATTTGATGTCAGTGATTCATTTGATATCACTAATATTAAAAAGTTGAATTATCAGTTGCAAAAGTACTGAAGCAGAGAGATTTATACTTTATGCAAATGCAAAGTATCAGTAACTGTGCAATCTGATATGTTGCAAAAGAAGCAAGAATAATCGATCTTTTGATATTAGCAAAAATTTAAGAAACAATAGCCAAAACGTTTTATAAAAATTAAATGCTCACTCAGAATGAAGACGCATTTTTCTTTTTTATCCTTTATTAGATTACCAGAAATGAATTATAAAGTAAATTTGATTTTGATTGATTTGAACATTTGATATCTTCGAGGAATATCTAAATGATAAATATTTCAAATGGTAGCAAATGCATATATAAAATCGATGTTATTGAATAATTTAATATTTCGAATAATATTTGAAAAAATATTACTGAAATAAATTCTCATCATGAAACTATTGGAATGACATTCAAATATATTACTTAGTTTTTCGATTATTACTAATTATTACTTTTGAATCGTCTAACTGAAAGTATTTGATATGGATAGTACTATCGTTTATCGAGATCAGATCTATGATTTAAGTCGTAGCAATATTGTTTTAGACTTTTCTGTCTCTTTATGATTAAAATATTATTCGGAGTGTTCTAGAGGGATTTTTGGTGAAAAAAGCTATTTACATAACAACATAATAATTAAGAAATATCTCGAGAAAATCATTCACTTCGGAATCCGATACTTTTGAGAAGTATAATCATAACATTTCATATGTGAAATACATACCTTAAGTGTCACATCTGAAATTTTATTTATAAGATAAGCTTGGAGCTGAAGGGATAAATTAATAAAAATATAGCATATCAAACTGAAAAATTAATAAAAATAGATGATTCAGTCATAAACTGAAATGGAAACTTGTAATTTTAAAATTGAAACAAAATGACTTTACTAATATAAATAATTAATTTAATTTTGATTGATTCTTAATTTTGACTGATTGATTGATAGTTAAATATTATATTTTTATTTTACATTTCCTCAAGTAACTTTCACTGATGGAAAATTATAAGAAAGAGAAGACTTTTTCAAAATTTTAAAAACGATTATTCATTGATAGTTTATTACTGAGATGAAAAGTTGGTAATTGAAAGAGAAGCATTGATAATACTATGATAATTCAACAATATATTCCACTTACTGATTATTTTCATTTCGTTCTATCCCACTTTCTTTGATCTCAGCCGAACCATGCAATTCTAACCTTTGTTGAGAAAAGAGTTAATTCAACATCTCCTCAGTTAATTACTTCTACTTATTTGATTGTTAGGTGAAAATTGAAAAGAGATGATAATTGTTATCAATTTCTTTACATTAGCATATCACAGTAGAATGAATAATTTAATTTCAAAAAAAAAAATTCAAAAAAAAGCTCAAAATTTCTTCATTATGCCATCGTTCAAGGCTGTAAGACAATGTGAAACTCATTGATTTTCAAGAAAAACAACACAATCATATTTTGTCGAGATTTTATCAAGCAAAGATTGACATCACGAGAATTCGAGAGTGAACATAGCTTGGCATTATAATTTGTGCAATATCAAGTAAACATATAAGTTATTTAGTAAAAATATAAGTAAGAATGCAATATAAATTATGCATATCAATAAAAATGATAAATGATTTAATTGTTTGAAGAAGCAAAGACGAAATAATTTAGTGGAATATTTTGAAATTATCTAAATTACTTTATGATTCACTAAATTTTTGTAGAATTACAAGCAAATATAAACGAAAACTTTTGTGGGATTAGAAGAGCACGAGAGAGAGAGAGAGAGAGAGAGAGAGAAAGAAAGAAGTGGAATAAGAGAGGTGGAAAAGAAGGAGAGAAGGGAAATTATCATATTTCTCTCAAAAGGATCGAACATAGTAGAAATTTGGATCTTTTGGTGACAATGCATCAATTTCTTATTCGTTCCTTCGTTTTTCACTTTCTTTCTTTCTTCTTTTTCCTTTTTTTTTTTTGTTTAATTTCTTTTAATTTCAATGTAAGAAATTTACTAAAATCCTTTAAAGCATTTCTTTTTTGAGAATAAAATGCATTTTTGAAAAGATAAAATACAATTTGTGAGCAAAAATGAATGAAAAGCTTTGAGAGATTAAAATAGGGAGAGAGAGAGAGAGAGAGAGAGAGAGAGAGAAAAGAGAAGAAGTGACGTAAAGAATAACTTTGAAGGGAAGAAACTAAAAAGTTTTCTTCAACATTTC